GGGGGAGGGGAGGAATCGATGACTCGAATAGAACGGATTCGCGTTGTATTCAAATATTTCGAACAGGGGAAAGGGGGGGGGTGGAGGGGAGGAATCGATGACTCGAATAGAACGGATTCGCGTTGTATTCAAATATTCCGGCTGTGCAAATAGAACAGCACATGCGTAGTATTCGAATAGAAGGCAACCTATGCGGTGTATTCGAATAGAAGGCAACCTATGCGTTGTATTCGAATAGAAGGCAACCTGTGCATTGTATTCGTTTACACCGCAAATGCGTGTTATGTTGGGGGGAAGACGACGGGCAGCCTTTCGGCTTCACCTTCGATCTGACCACTGAGTGTTTTCAACAACAGTCTCTTCAATAGGCTCTCACTCACCTGCGCTCCAGTGTCTTCAGCAGGCAAACCGTTTAGACCGCAAGTGCGTTATGTTCGGGGGAAGACGAGTATAGCCTTTCCGATCTTACCATAGATCCGATCACTGAGTGTGTTTTGGCAACAGACAAGTCCCGTCAGGAGGCTCTCTCCTGCGCTCTACCGTCTTCCCCCGAACATAAGGCACCCTGATAATGAATGCATACAAACTATCTTTCCGGCCAGATACAGTCAAAATGAGGGTGCGTTGTTTTCGGGCGAAAATGGTAGTCCCTTCAGGATGCAAAAACCTGGCACCTACGGTAGCCTTTCGGCTCCCACCTTCGATCCGACCACCACCGAGTCTTCTGGCCATAGACTGCTTGGCGTACCGACACTTGTAAGCAGTCATTACACCTCCGCATGTACTCATGATCGGTGTTAGAGAGAGGAGAGGAGTCGGTACTATTTGCCACGTGGCAGGCGCGGGGGTAAGATAGGGTTCCAAGGCAGACATGCGTAGGGATCCGATCTTGCCGGGGTCGCGACGAGGGCAACCCCGTCAGGCTCGGGGTCGGGACTAGGGCAGTCGGTGGTGTGCCACGTGGCAACCGCGGTAAAGATCGGTGGTGTGCCACGTGGCAACCGCGGTAAAGATCGGTGGTGTGCCACGTGGCAACCGCAGTAAAGATCGGTGGTGTGCCACGTGGCAATCGCGGTAAAGATCGGTGGTGTGCCACGTGGCAACCGCAGTAAAGATCGGTGGTGTGCCACGTGGCAATTGCGGTAAAGATCGGTGGAAATCAAGCTCACTACCGTCTTCACCCGAATAGAACGCCCGGTCATTATCGCTGCATCTGGACCGAAGGTTTTGCCAAATACAGCTATAATGACCGGGCGTTCTATTCGGGTGAAGACGGTAGGTGAAAATCGTGCACACGACAGACTTAAACACGATAGACTAAAACACTTGGTCGGTTCGAGAGAGTGGGGACCACATGACTCGATGCTGTGCGGACGTGGACGAAGAAGAAGAATAACAAGCAATAATGGCCAATTGCTTCTGTACAAGGTCAACAAACATTCAATTGCCAAAAAAAAAAAAAAAAACACTCAATTACTCATCAGGCATGTTCATTTGCTCAAACTGCGCACGCTTCCCTCTCTACATGTTTCAACCGGGTGCGCTCTGGTCTTAACCACGCCTTTCGGTCGCCCCAGAACTCTACCGCCCATGAGCTTAAGAAGGCCAATGCGGCCTTGCCCTCTCTCTCTCTACCCCCCAGCTTAATTGAACGGTTTTTTAACCCTTCCCCCTTGCCCTCTCTCTCTCTACCCACCAGCTTATTTGAACGGTTTTTTAACCCTTCCCTTGCATGAGCAGCCTCACTATCTGCTTGGCCCTGATGAGGCCCTCATCCATCGTACTTCGGACGGACTATTACTATTAATAGAATGGTAGAACTGGCGGCGGGCGCTTTAGCTAATGAGTGACACACACGAAGAGGAGAAGGGATGAGATGGGCTCATCAGGGCCGAGCAGAGCGATAGGAAGCAAAAGGAAGACAAAGAGGACGATCTCGAGATCAAGAGAACAAGCAAAGAGGATGTTCATAGAGGATGACGAGAACAAAACAGAAACCGGGTGGCGGACCACGAAGAGAGAGAGAGAGAGAGAGAGAGAGAATGGAACAAATATGAGAGAGGACAAGGAGAGAGTAGTGGCGGAGATGGCGAGAGAGAGAGAGAGGGAGCAGGCGGTCGAAATCTGTGACTACAGAGGTTGAGGATTGCGCGATCTGAAGAGAGCTCGGCGAGGACGAGCAAAGGACGAAGAGGAGGAGGAAATGAGCGAACCCAAACAGGCTGATACATGTACTTTGAGATGTGGAAGTTAAGGATGCAAGGAGGAGAAGGATGCAGCAGTCAGTAAGGTAACAACCAACAGCAAAGATCAGGAAAAAATACAAAAAAACACAAATTTGCTACCCAGCTCATTCTCTCTTTCGGTCATGTGCAACCAGTGCTCCCTGCTCCACCTCGTGTCGCGACTCCTTCCCATCCTCCTCGTCTGATCTCCTTCTTCCTCTTCCCTCAAATCAAACAACCTTTCCCGTCCCGTAAAACAACGGGCCTACGAAAAACAATAATAATAATTATAATAATAATAATAATAATAAATAAAAATAAAAAATAAAAACGAACGACGGACCTACGCTATTAGTTCTGCCACTCTCGTCAAATGTGGAAGAGAGAGGTTAAAAACAGCGCGAGTTCATCTTTTCCACCACCTTCAGGGTGAAGAATCTCCCGCCATTTTAACACGTGGAGAGTGGTGCCACGAGGCCCAAGATCGACGACAAGAAAGGGGACGCAGAGATCGAATCCCGAAGGAACTCGTTGAGGAGAGAAGTACGCAGACAAAAAGATGGGCACGACGAGGAGGGACACGACGATCGAGCAAAGCCGACGATGAGGGACGAAGGGAGGGGAGAGGATGATCGTGCAAAGACGACGACGAGGGAGGGAGGGAGGAAAACGAACACGAATAGAGGACGAAGGCAGCGGGCGGGGAACAAGACGCTTACCAGTAGTAGGAGACGACTGACTAACAGAAGCCGATTTCCCGACAAGAACGTGATGGCGGTGAACTGCTGGTATTGTGACCACATGGCTGGCGGGGGCCTGCCCCCCCTTCCCCGCTCGGTGCGCATGAGAGCCATGCACAACCCCGCAAAAAGCGCCCACAAAAAACAGGGCCGGGCCCCCGGCCCAGCCAGCCAGGTCGTCACAGCGGGGGGTCGCTTTCGCCGCTGCACTCCAGTGGCAGCGGCACCTGCAGCGCGCATGCTGTATGGCTCAATGCCGCACTCTTCAGCACGTGAGCAGCGCATCTGCGATGTCTGCTGCATGCACGACACCGTCTGCAGGCAATTGCGCCGCTATGTGCAGGTCGCTGCAGGTGCTGCTGCCACTGGAATGCAGTGCGGCATGAGTTATCGCAGTACACTCATACCACGCGCGGGCGTGGGTGCGCAGCCAGGACGGCAGTGTACCGGAAATTTGGTTGCGATTGCACGTGACTGGAAACTACAGCCTTCTTTATTATTATTATTATTTTATTTTTATTTTTATTTATTTTTTTGATAAACATCAGAGTCGGCACTAGCTGTGGTGGTATGAGCATCCACAGCTAGTGGAATCTTCAGGGGCACGGTTCCACTAGCACACGAGTCATGGCCTATTTGGACCTGTGCGGCACTGTAAGGAAAGGAAGAAAAGTAATTTTAAAGACTTAGAAAAAGAAAAATGGCGACGGTACATTTCCCAAGATGGGAAGAAGTCGGACTTTTGAAAGTGCAGCCGTCCCACTAACCCTCCCGTCTCCACCCTCTGCTCCCCACCCAGCCAATACCTAATAAGGACAGAGTGGTACGTGACTGTTGCAGTCTCGCATACCACCTCGAGGGAGTCCCTTCGTGTGCCTGATGGGACTCCCTCCTCTGACGGTTGCCATGCTGAAGCGTGCATTTCGTATATTTTCAGAGAATCGAAGTACTGGATGGGGTTAACAATTGACCCGGAAAAAGAAGGGGGTCAAAATTATGCCCTTCGAGTACTTGATTTTTTTTAATCTTTTGAAGAGCTGCCAATTGAAATGAGTCTTTCTATTTTCTTTTCCCACCTCTATCTTGGGAACTGGAAAGAAAAAGCACAAAAAAAAAAAAAAAAAACCACCACTTCAGAATATAAATCCCTCGCAATTTTGCTGCCATCCGATTCTCCTGCATCAGTGGTGGGACGATGTCCCGCAGATGTCCCAAAGGTGTTTGTGGGACACTCAAGGTTCCACTAGCACCGCGACACCTGTGGGACGTCGGGGGGACATCCACCAGGTGTTGCTGCATCGAAATCCGAGGGTAGCGAAATAAAGATGTTTGTATATTTAAAATTTGTGTTTTAATTTACTTTTTCTTGTGTTTTTTTTTTCGGTGAATAACAGGATGTGGGGAAAAGAAATACCAGTTTCAGGATTGTGTGGCTTTTATGGGCCGTGATGGCAGTTTTTTTTCCCAGGGTTGGGGAATGTCAGGGCAGCGGTCAGGATGCGGCCAATTCTGTCACTAGACTACAATGTGACGCCCAACCTCACGCCCAGCGCGACTTCCTGATCGGAGTGGGATGGGGGCCTGGAAGTGCGAAGAGGGGTGTGCCAAGGATTTTTGGGAAAGTGGCGGGTTGAAGTCCCAGGTCGGAACTGGGATCTTCTGTGGCCGAGTTCAGGGGCAGAGATGCAATAGAGCGCTGGGAAAATTTACGGGCGCGGGCTT